AATCGGCAAGGATGGGATCAGGAAGGCTAAGGCTCAGCATGAACAAAGGCTTGCTATGAATGCTAAAAATAACAAAGAAGGATTGTTTAGGTTTGTCTGGAACAAGAGGAAATCAAGGAAACTTGGCCCACTGTTTGGAGAAGATGGCAAGATGAGTGACAGACAACAGGGAAAAAGATGAAATGCTTATTTCCTACCTTGCATATGTCTTTTCACAAAAGGAAAAAAACCCAGTCCAACTTGTCAGAAGTGATACTGTGAGGAGCAGAAGATAAATGAAGATCAAAATAGGTAAGGAATTGGTGAGACAACACCTAGTTGCTCTGAATGAATTCAGTTCTCCTAGACGAGATGGATTATATCCCAGGATGTTAAAGGAACTGGTGGACGTCATCTCAGAGCCGCTGACTGAAATCTTTGAGAAATCTTAGAACACAAGAGAATTGCCAGAAGATTGGAGAAGAACCAACGTTGTTCCAGTATTTAAAAAAGGAAAAAGGTGGACCCAGGAAGCTACAGACCAACCAGCCTGACATCAATACTTGGGAAAATCCTAGGAAAACTAATCAAGCAGTGGGTTTGTAACCACTTAGAAATGAACAGGGTGATTACCAGAAGCCAGCATGGATTTGTTAAAAACAGGCCATGCTAGCCAAATCTTTTTGCTTTCTTTGACAATGTGACTTGATCAAGGGAATGCTGTGGCTGTACTGTACCTAGTCTTCCATAAGGTGTTTGATAAAGTATCCCACAGTCACCTTCTTGATAAACTGGAACATTGTGGATGGATGGTCTCACTACCAGATAGATTTATAGTTAGCTGAACAACCATAACCAACACATGTCCTTAATGTGTCCGTGTTCACATAGAATGAGATGTGCAGTGGGATACCTCAGGGTTCTGTCATAGGCCCAATACTCTTCAACATCTTTATAAATTACTTAGATAAGGGAATAGAAGGGATGCTCATAAAATATGCAGATGACACAAAGTTAGGAGGGATTGTTAACACTCTATAAGACAGGCTCAAGATTCAAAAGGATCCTGATAGACTTGAACACTGGGCCCTGTCTAACAAAATGTTCAATGGTAAGAAATGGGAGGTTTTGCACTTTGGTAAGAAAAAACATACACAAGATAGGCAGTAACTGGCTTAGCAGTAGTACTTATGAAAAGAATCTGGGTGTCCTGGTATACCACAGATTAAGAATGACCCAGCAATGTGCTGCAGCTGCCAAAAGAGCCAATGCAATTCTGGGCTGCATCATTAGAGGTAGAGAGTCAAAATCACAGTAAGTGATAGTACCACTCTATGCTGCACTGGTCAGACCACATCTGGAATACTTTGGCCAGTTCCGGTCACAATACAAAAAGGACACTGAGGAACTGGAAAGAGTACAAATAAGAGCAACAAAGATAGTAAGGTGCTTGGAGGCTAAATCCTACAAAGAGCAGTGAAAGGAATTTGGCATGTTTAGTCTAAAGAAGAGAAAGCTAAAGGGAAACATGATAGTAGTCTTCTAGTATGTTAATGGATATCACAGGGAAGAAGGTGTGGATTTATTCTCCACAGCACATGAAAGTAAGAAGATCAATTGGGTGGAAACTTTACTGTGAGAAATCCAAATATAAAATAAGAAGGAATTTCCTGTGAGAGCTATTAAGCAGGGGAACAGCCTACTCCTGAGGTCATGGGTGCCTCATCATTGGAAGTTTTAAAGAAAAGATTGGACAACCATTTGTCCAGGGTGGTATGAGGATTCCTGCACTGTGCAGAGGGTTGGACTAGAAGACCTCCAAGTCCCTTCTAACCCTATGGTTTTATGATTCTGTTACAGCAGAACTGCTATAAAATAGTGTTTCCAATTCCCATCACAGACATTCAGAAGAACGTTATGATCAAAAGGTACTGAAAATGTAAGAAAATAAAAAGGGTTATATTTCCCCTTTTTTGGCAAAGATCATGCCCAAGTGAAACTAACAGTTTCTGTCTCAAAACAATGTCTAAAATTGCAGTGAAATTGATCCAGAAAATAAATGCCATTCACAAATTTCTGGTATAATTCACCAACTACCTATTCAAGCCTTTTATCCAAGTTATCTATCACTTTCCTCAGAAGTAGAAGTAGCCCAAGTGACTCCTCTTAAACACTAATACCATTTCTTCTCTCAAGGAGTTAATAATCTCTTAGATCAATCAGCCATCCTCTTTTAATGTCTAAGAATTCAAGAATAGTAACCAATCTTTTCATTGTGGTCTCTGTACATCACACAGATGAATTAACAGGCAGTGCTTGCCAAAGCAGCTTAAATCAAATAAAAAAATCAGGCATGCTCCCAATCTAAAAAGACAAGACTCTTCAAGGTCAGAAAGAGTGGTGATCAATATAATAGTACTGATTGATCAATCAAATTCATGCTGTACTGATATTATCTTCCTAAAGCTTTGTCTTGAATGTGTCACTTTTTCTATTGGCAAATGGATAGGGATAGAATTGCCACAACCAATAAATGGTTATGGCCAGAATATACTGCCTTTCAGTCTCTACTCCAGGTCAACTATTATTAGGTTCTGAGTATTCTATATGACAAGGTTAAAAAAAGTTCTCTGCAGCTGCTCCTTCTCTGGCCAAAGTAAACAGATACAGCAATCCCCTTTCCTAGGAAGTTTGGTCTAGGAAGCAGAGGGAGCAGTCTCCCAATGGCCTTTTCCATGGAACTCTGGTTGACAGATGAACCTCTATTTTAGGGGGCTATTTTCTAGGAGGCACAAGGTCTTTTGCTAGGCTTTTCAACTTAAAGGCACAACACCTCAATTTGTGTTGGGTCTCTAACACCCCAATTTGATCAGAACTAGTAATTAGAAATTAGAGGTGGGTTGACCAATGCCCTCTTCTGACCCCATGATGCAGCTTTGTGCCAACTTGGTTCTAAGGAAGATTTGGGGCCTCCCTTAGGGAACTCCTACTGCCTATCTTAGAATGAAAGTGGGGCTATCCTTAATCTCTGTTAGAATTCACCTTGCATTATTAAGAAACTATACAAAATTAGAAACTTCCAAGAATCCCACTGTTAAACTGTTTCTTGCATAAGGGGAACTTAGTTCTTAGAGAAGTGAAAACGTCAGAGATAAGGTTTTTGAACAGGAAGACTGTAGAGACATTATTATGGTACAGTCTTCAAAGTTTTCATCTTGATACCACCACTATAAGAAACATAGAAGCCTTTCCTGGTATCTGGTTAACATTATGCTTCATTAAGGCAAGCTTTTACAGGTAGTCTTCATGTTATAATGGCAGCTGGGACTGAGATTGCCATTGCTAAGCGATGTGGTCATAAAGCGTGACGTCACGTGACTGCATCACTTAGCAACAGCAATCCCAGGGCAGTCCTGGTTGCTGTTTTAAACCCAAGACGCACGTTAAGTGGGAAGAGGCGGGAGTCCCAGGTAAGGAGCGCAGGGATGCCATGGGGTAGGGCCTGGGAGGCCAGCACAGGTCATGCATGAGTTGTGGGAGGCTGGGGGAGGGCCAGTGTAGGCTGGTGTGAGTTGTGGGAGGGCTGGTGCAGGTCTTGCAGAAGGCCAGGGAGGGTTGGCGCAGGCCACGCTCGAGTCACAGGAGGCTGGGGAAGGCCTGGGAGGGTCAGCACAGGATGTGTATGAGTTGTAGGTGGCCAGGGGAGGCCCTGGAAGGGCTAGCACAGGATGTGCATGGGAAGGGGGATGATGTGTGCAGGAGAAAAAGCAGGAGCGACTTGCAACCTTCCCTGCTAGCTTCCCTATTGAGTTTGCTTATAGAAAGCCAGCAGAGAAGGTCACAAACGGCAATCACGCAACTGCAGCTCCCTGCAACATCATAATTGTGAGCTGGGTATCTGGATTGCTATCACTTGACCACATGGGGTCCTGCAATGGCTGGAACTCCACGGACCAGTCGTACATCCATTTTTTCAGCACTGTCATAACTTTGAACAGTCACTGAACAAATGGACATAAGCCGGTACATCTCTTTAACTTCAGACCATATCCTCTGCTTACCTCAAAGGGAAATTTTGTAAATGTCCAGTGGAACACAATGCCTGGAGGACATTGTGGAGGACATTACACTGATGATAAACAAATTTAAGGGGTAGGATACTGAACAACCAAACTACCTTCTCACAGGCACAATTCCAATTATTAGCAATCAGGTCACCACCTTTGCCATGGTTTCTTTTAAACTTAGAAATGAAATTTTAAGCTCCCAGTTGTAGTACTGGTTGAATCTTAATTCTCTTGTATGTGTTCTTCTTTGTTGTTTTTTTACTATTATAACCAATTTTATTCTTTTCTGCTATGTCATATTGTTATGACCTGTGGTCACAATAGTAAATTTATTGATTGAACTGTGTATATATGTGAGAAGGACTGCTGATATTGTATGTGAATTTCCTCCCATACTGTAGAAGGTTCTGTTATTATAGCCCATCTCAGTAAAAGTAGTTTTAGCCTTCCTTTGGAGCTGATTTCCTGGTCTAACCTACCTAGTGGGACTGACATCAGTCTTGCAAGTTGTTATTTTGTTGCTCTGGACTTAAAAAAATATTTCAGCCCCTCTTTCCTAGGTAATGGTTCTTGTATTTTTCCCGCTTACCATTCCATTTCCCTTACTCTCTACACATAAAGAAAACGCAATTGTTTCATATGGCTAATTACCTGTTTGGTAAAAATCACACACAATGCTTGAATTAAACTTCAGCAAAAGGCAGGATATTAATTTTAGAAAAGCAATTACTACAAATACTGAAAATGTGATAGCACTATGTTTCATATTTATTAAAAAAAAAAAACTAGGGTTTCACATTCACACTTTTCTGATAACATTTATTTATAACATTTCTAACCTGCTTTTCTATTACAAACAATCCAAAAATTCACATTTCAGTTATTGAACATATAGCAGGCATATTTATTTACATTATTATTAAGAAACATATCATTACTTTATATAGTCTGTACCTTCAATATAGCTTCCAATATGTACAAACTCAGAAAATAGTAGTTGCACAATTTTAGTTGTGGAATAAATGGTGAAGCACTAGGAAGTATAAAGTAAAGTGCAATTGGAAAACAGTTCAAACAGGTTATCATGCCACTTATATATTCGAATTCCTCCATTGACACTATTTGGTGGCACATTTTCATAAACTTGTTTCTTTAAAGTGAAAAAAAGTTAGACATGCAATTAGTAACAGTCATTTAAATATCCAGAAAATATTACTTTTCGTTTCTTAAAATCATATGTGGCTTGTAATCAACATTGTCCAAGAACCTTGCTCTGAGAGAATAATTCAACAAGAGTCCAACTCTGCAATTTTATGAACAGTTAAAGATGCCAAGTAGACATGTGAACTCAAATTACTGAGATCAAAGAAAGTACAAGAGAGTTATTCTCTGTTTCCTCTGCTAACAGTAGTTATTCCTATGTCTGAGAATAAGAAAAATGGGGAGTAGTGTAACTCTTATGAATTCCATTTGGCCTCATCAAGGAATTTCAATGCATTTTGGGATTCTCAACATCCTAACTTTAGTCCAGTACCTTTCTTCTATCCATTGCTATCACTGCTGCCTCCTCAGCCTGGAGGAGAAATTGTAAGAATGTATTTTGGAAGGGGCTGGTAGCCCCCATACTCAGAACTGTTCTTTAAGAGTAGTTGTTGTGAAATAATCAGAGAGGGGAACCCACCATGGGCATCCTCCCAACATATTGTTTTGAAGCACATTATCCAGCTGAGGAGAAAAAAACTTGTATCAATCTCCCCCCACTCTGCCCCTCATTTAAATACATACATAAGGATATGGACTAATTCCAGGAGGGTTATAGTCAAGATATTCAACAGCCAGTGGACTTCTGGGTGGAAACATGACAGACTAGCACATCTCCATGTACTGGGGATGACACAGAGGCAAAGACTGCCGGGTGGTGCACCCAGGCTAATGGAGCTTCTGCAGACAGAGAAAGCTGCGAGATTGCCCACTTGAACTCTGGAGGGCAGCTCCTCACGAGGAAACCCGCAGGATCCAGAGGGACTCTGCAGGTGACTCATGAATATAGAGCGCCAGGAGCTGCGGGAGAAAACAGCATGCTCACAGCAAAGCCTGTTTAAAGGACACTGGGTTTGCCCAATCCACCTTCTAAAGCACTTTGGATGGAGAAAATTGAAAGTATAAAGAGCCCTTCAAAGCATCAGAGCACCCAAAGCCACCCAACTGAGTGTGCCTTTGACCTGTGGGAAAGATTAAAGTAAAAAATAAGGATACAACTATAAAGAATTTTAAAAAATTAAAACCAAAAAGCTTGCCAGCAGTTTTTAATGTGAAAGTTAAAAATGAATTAAGGGGACAGTCAAATTTGGAATATTGCCTTATTTAAAGTACTTTTGAATTAATTAGATACATAAAACATACTTCTGTGAGAAAGAGGATTATTTAAACTTGCTAAGGAAGTTTGGCTGACTTTGCTAAACAAAGAGATAAGTAGAGAAAGAAGGGAAACAGGAAGTTGTAAAAGATCATGCAACTACAGAAGTATGGAGTGCCAAAAGGGACTAAAGAGTTACTGACAGAGAAAAAAAAGTCACTCTTTTATTCTTTACTTCTCCTTTCTGGATTACAAATTAGGGGGGGAAATGGCTACTGCTAGAAAGGCAGCGAAAGTTACAGAAGGGAGGAGAGGAACATTTACAGACAGACAACAAATAATAGAAAAAGGGATTATATCAGAGTCCTTACAAAGGATGTTTGAAGAATTAGGGAAGAATGTTACACCATCAGTAACTGCATCAGTGCCTGTATCAGTCAAAAGAGACCTGGCTACCCTCGAAGAGAGAATGGAGAAAAGATTTACAAATATGGAAGAAAAGATTAATTAAAAAACTGTAAGAATCTGTAATACAGATGAGTGAGGTTAAACAAATCAAAGAAAAAATAGAAATTTTGGAAAATAAGACAAAAATAATAAATTGTGAGATGGAAAAGGATTTAGACAATGTGGCATTATTGGGATTACAAAAGAATTTTGTTTAAGATAGAACAGTTCCAGAGGAACCTGGTGAAGATATTAGAGAGTTATAGAATCCCTAACAACATTTTTGGAATGGAATGAAGAAGATATGGATGCAGAAGGGGACAAAGTGTATAGAATTAATACAGGATATGCAAAATTAAGAAAAGTACCAAGAGATATACTTGCATGCTTAGGAAGAAGACAAGAGACCATTTTAATACTGAATTAAGGATAAATAATTCAAAGTAATTGTCCTCAAAGAAATACCTATTAGAACAATTTGTAAGAGAAAAGAATATATCTTTTTGACAGATAAACTTAAACCGAAGAGGATATCATTTTGTTGAGATAAACTGGAAGGAGTAATTCTAACTTTTAATCAACAGAGATATTGACTTAACTCAGTCCAAAAGGTGAGATATTTTTATGAAAGGTTCAAAGAGGAGATGGAGAAAGTGCAACTGGATCAAAAGGAGGGAATCATGCAACAAATACAGCAAGAAGATGAAGAAGAGACCACAACATTGGGTGCCACTGGCATAGACTTTTCTAAGCTTATAAAATAAACATGGATTTTAAATGCCTAACCTGGAATATAAATGGGGCAAATGCCTCTCAAGAAAGAAAAGTATTTCATTATTTTAAAAATTTTAAAAAGATGCCTTTTGCCTACAAGAAACACGTATAAGAAAAAAAGATTTTAAAAAATTGATTCATAAAAATTTGGGACAAAAATTTATATTGGTAGGGACAGCCAAGGAAAATGGAGTTGCTTTGTATATATACCCAGTTGATAATGAATGACAAACATAGCAGATATATAACGGTTGAAATTAATTGGAATGAAACTAAAATTACAATATATGGGATATATATATGCTAAATGACAATAAACCCAGATTTTTTAAGTGACTTATAGAAAAACTGATAGAATTGTCCTATGAAAATTGGTGTTTTTTGGGAGACTGGAGTGCTTTGCCCACGAAAAGACAGAACCTCTGTGAAAGGAATTAAATCAATACGAGGTAAATTGCCAAAAATATTTTTTGAAATGATGGCCAATTTTGAGTTTATAGATAGATGGACACATAAAAATTGTGATTCCAAGGAATGTATGCACTTTTCTGAAAGACACAAATCTTTCTCAAAAATAGATACGTTTTGGATTTCTAAGAAACTCACTACATCTACTAATAAAGTAGAGATATTACCAAAATCTTTTTTAGATCATAACCCAGTAACTTTAATATATAAGAGGAAAAGTAGAAGCTACAGATGGAGGCTAAATGAAACCTTGCTACAAAAAGAATAATTGAGGACTGTAAAAAAAAAAAAGCTCAGAGAATTCTTTGAGATTAATTTAAATAAAGGCACAGACATAAGTAGTATGAGATACAAGTAAAGCCTTTATGAGAGGACAATTCATACAGCAAAATGGTTAACTGAAAAGACAAAGAGAAGATGCAAAAGATTTTAATGGAGATAAAAATGAAAGACAAATTAAAGAGGTCTCCAGGGAGGAAAAATATCTCACAGCAAATTAAACTTCTACAACACCAGCTTTCTATATTAACTATTAAAGAAATGGAAACAAAAATTAATTTTACAAAACAGAAGAATTTTGAGTTGGCAAAAAAGCCAGGGCAATGGCTATCATATAAACTGAGAAAAGAAAGTGAGAAGAAAATATTAAAATTACAAAATGGGAATGCTATAATAACAGATAATGCAAATATGCAAAGAATATTCCATGAATATTACACAAAACTTTATAAAGGAGAAGAAATTTCCCCAACGAAAGTGGATGAATATTTAAAGAAACAAAATTTACCAAAAACAATGGATAAACAAAAGCTGATGTTGAATGGACCTATAAAAAATAAGGGAAGTCTGTGAGGCTATTAAAAAAGACTAAAATAGGGAAAGCTCCTGGCCCTGACAGAGTGCCAGCCTCCTATTATAAATACTTGGTGAATTGTTATAACCTCTTCAAACAATGATGAATTCCATTCTGGAGAGGGGAAGGATACCAGAAAGTTGGACAAGTGCAAATATAGTACTAATTCCTGAAGAGGGTCAAGACCTGACTTTATTAAAAAAAAAAAAAACCAATCAATTACTTTACTGAACAATGATTATAAAATATTTACTATGATTCTAGCTGAAAGGATGAAAAGTGTCTTGCAAGATTTCATATATGAAGATCAATGTGGCTTCTTGCCTAAAAGACAGTTAAGAGACAATATTAGAAATATTTTTAATATATTAGAATATTTGAAACATCATAATAAAAAACAAGCAACATTGATATTTCTTGATCCAGAGAAACTATTTGACAAGCTGAATAGGACCTTCCTGTTTAAAATTTTGGAAAATATGGAATATGGAGGAAGTTTTATTAAATGGATGAAATAAACATATACTTCACAAACAGCACAAATAATAGTTCATGGTGAATTGACAAAACCCTGTGAAATACAGAAAGGGACAAGACAAGGATGCCTGCTTTCGCCACTCCTATTCATTCTGGCTCTTGAAGTTTTGAATAGAGATATAAGATGAGAGAATAGCTAGAGTGAAGACCAAAACAGATATAAATTAAGGGCATTTGTGGATGATTTGGTTTTAACATTGAAAAATCCTATGGAAGGAATAGATATATTAATTGAAAAGTTAAAGGAATTTGGTGCATTAGCTGGATTTAAAATCAGTAAGGAGAAAACGAATATGTTATCAAAAAATATGAGGATGGAAGATCAAAAAGAATTGATTGCAAAAACTGGTTTTCAGATTGAGAAAAAAGCAAAATATGGGGCATTATAGCTGATATGAATTGTATGTTATTTCAAAGTAATTATGTCAAGATATGGAGTGAAATTAAGAAAGATTAATTAAGATGGGAAAAGTTACAATTATCATTGAAAGAATTTCTGTGGTAAAAATGAATGTGTTATCTAGAATGATGTTTTTAATTTTAAACAATACCTATTTTGAAAAATAATTCGCCTTTTAAGGAATAGCAAAAAGGCATGTCCAGATTTATATGGCAGGGTAAGAAACAAAGGGTTAAATATAA